TTCTGATGGGTGTTCCCTTGTAAGTGATCAGTTTCTTGTCTTTAACAGCTTTTAGTATTCTGTTCTTATACTGGATTTCTGGAATTTTGATTATTATATGCCTGGGTGTAGCTCTGTTTGGGTTGTAGGTGGCTGAGGTCCTGTATGCCTCATATATCTGAGTATCTTTACCTTTTGCTAAATTAGGGAAAGTCTCTTAGATTATTTCTGTGAATAGCTTTTGTAGTCCATTTGTTTGTGTCCCTACTTCTTCTTTTATGTTCTTAATTCTTAAGTTATAGGTCCTCTTATCATCTTCTAGCCTTTGTATTATTGCTGTTTGTTTTCTTGTTATTTTTAAAAAGTTTTTCATTTCATGCTCCCATATTACAAATCTGCCCTCCAATTCAGATAATCTATCCTTAGTTTCTTTCAAGCTGTTATGCCAGTTTTCGATAGAGTTTTTAGTTTCCTGGTAATCTCTTTGCACCTGCTTCATGTATTCTATGTTTTCTCTATTTTCTACATCAAATAATTCTCCTTTTTTTTCTGTTCTTCCATTCCACCATCTGTTTTTTCTTGGGCAGTGCTTAGTATTTCTCTAAGTATTCTACTTATCTCTTGCTTTATTTCGTTAAAGACTTCATTTTTAAACTCGTCTATGAGGCTCTGGAAATATCGCTTTATGTCTATTGGTGCCGTGTCTGATATTGCATGTTTTCTGTCTTCCTTTGCATTTCTCTTTCCTGGATCAGTGTTCTCAGGATTGGGGACTGAGGACCCTTTCTTGTTGCTTCTCTTCCCATACTTTTTGTTCCTTCCATACAAGCGAATGTAGGAGGCCCAATTTTCTTCTCTTTTTTGGTTACAGTTTGTTTGAATTGCACCGGCTAGGTGTTCCCACCCACTGCAGTGTACTAGGGAGACACAGACCTGGGCAGCCTCTGCTGGGCCCGCCCCTCCAGGTCAACCTACCGAAGGCTTCACCGCTAGGATGCACCTCCATGTGCTGGGACCTGGTTTGGGCTAGCCTACTGGGTCTTAGTCAGCGGCGTCACGCAGGCCAGGTACTCCCCACCAATCTCGCTTGAGAGAGGAATATGCAGCTAATGTCACTGCAGTGTTCTGTTCCGGCAAGTCTGCCCGGTCCCAGTGTGTCCTTTCCTGGAGCCTCCTACTCTATGAAAGGGTCCCTGTTCCGCTCACTCATTGCTAGTCGATGTAGGGCTCCCTGCTAGTCCTGCTCTCAAATCCGTTCGCAGATTCCTGCTCTCAGAGCTTTCGCACGTCTCTCTCCCTGCCCTGCAGATTTGGATGCAGCAGCAGCAGCAGCAGGAAATTCAAATCGCGGCTTCCAGTGGTGCGGGTTCTAGCTTTCGTGCTGAGATTTTATCTGTTTCTGTTACAGCACCAGGATTGGATTTCCAGTTGGTTTCTCTTAGCTTAGTTCATTCCTGGGTCAGCAGGGTGTATCTCCCCTTGCTTAGGACTTCTTGTACCGCACCATTCCTGGATTTTAAGCAGGTATCTCAGAGAGCCTCCATAGCTGCTGCTATCTATCCGCCATGTTCTCCCAGAAGTCCTCCGGAAAGGTTTATTTTGGTTCATAGGTTTAAAGGTTGCAGTTCATGATGGATTTTTCCCGTGCTCTGAGTCTGTGGTAAAGTAGCTTATAGTGGTGAGGGTGGGTGGTGGAGGAAAACTATTTACTTTATGACCAGGAAGCAAAAGAAAGGAAAGAAGGAGCCAGAATCCTTCTGTTCTCTTCAGAATCCTGTCTTAAGGAGTCCCCCAGAGTCCCGACTCAAAGTTCTGCCACCACTTTGCAGCATCACCAAACCTTTAACGCAGAGGTCTCTGGGGGGACATTCAGCACCTGACCTGTGGCAGCCAGCAGTGCTCTGCGAATGTTAATGAACATCAGAATTATTTGGGGGGTTAGAGTGGAGGACTGGTAATTAGGCAGTTTCTAGACCTCCTTCTCTAGAGGCTTGAATTGGAAGATTTGGGGTGGGCCTGTACCCACATTTTGACAACTGTGCCTTTTTCTACTCAGCAGTTTGGATCAAGACTATCTTGTGGCTACTGTGCTGGTAGACATTGACCTGTGCCTCAGCCAGAATCAGAAGTACTTTCTCTGAAGTGCTGTCCATCTCCAGGCATTCCTCTCTGGCAGATGTCAAATGAAGTCCTGTCCCCTGGGCTTTCAGCCTGGGCCAGACCAGAAATCAATCTTTATTGAGACCTGAAGTCCAGGCAAGGACTATCCCCCCAGAGAGAATGGTCAGGCAGGCTCCAGCCCAAGTATTCTAAAACTTATCTCCTCTCTTTAAAGTTGAGTTTGATAAGAAATTCTGAGCGGTCTTTAATTACGGGGGTAGAAAGGAGGGGCTATGGGAAAGGTTAATCCGCAAACAAGCTATAGGTCAAGAACCAAAGAAGGGTCTTAAAACCTTAAGTCTAATCCTATGGTGACCTCTTAGGGGTCACAGCATCCTGTTTACCACCCCAACCAATGGGAAGCTGCGGTCTGTCCTAAACCTGTCCCCTGCCTATTCTGCTCCTCTTATCTATAGTTAGGGTAAGTTCAATGTGAACAAGTCACATCCTCCTTCTCCAATATTAATTACAAAAGAAAAAAAAATGCCCTTAGCTGTGGTTTGGTAGACATTTTCCAGCTGCTACCCAGCCCTACTGCTGGTTAGTGGTGGCAAATTATTCCGGGTCCTGATCTTTTTTCTACTGGCTCACACCTGTAACAGCTCCACAAACACAAAATCGCTTTATTTCTAGAGTTTTGGGTTAACAGATGGAGAGTTGATTAGCAGGTTGGATGGAGACTGCTGCATTTGCCCAAGGAAAGCTGGAGGAAGGAGCTGATTGATGCTTGCTGCAGATTACTGAAGAGGCGGAGCACAGAGCTGGGCCTGACTCTGGTTGCAGCAGCAGTGGCAGCAGCTGTCGGAGTCCTGGAGTTCTGCCCCCAGGCCCAAGCCAGCAGCTTGAATAGACCCATTCTGGCCAGGGGCCTCACGCAGGCATCGTGTGTCTGGCCAACTTGGCCAGACTGTGGAGAGGAATTAGCCCTGGACATTCTTGGCAAGGTCTGTTGACATGACACTTCTCTGCACTGCCCAAGTGGAATGGATATCTTGGCCAGTGTCACTCTGGAGTCACTAGTTGTTGGAGGGTGTTGGCTGTAGTACCAGGGAGAGAGCTAAATTATTCTTTTTCCAGCCTGATGCAATGAAAATCAAACACTTAGAGCCAAGGGCAGTCTAGAGGGGCTGGTGATACAAGGGGAGCCCAGGACTCCTGCTTGCAATCAGTGGAGTTGTGGGGAGAGATGGGGTCATTCAGTTAGTAAGTCTGTTTCCATGGCCTTGGGGATACATACAGAAAGGGTTGCTGGCCTCATAGAGTTTTGTGATTGGAAAGCATGCAAACTGAAATATTTGCCAGGTTGCCAGGGACACAAAGGGAGGGAGATAGCCCTGACTTAAATAGTCAAGGAACACTTCACAGAGGAAGGGACATTCATACTGGGCAACGGGAATCGAAGTTAGGAAATGGCCTTCTCAACAAAGGATTAAGGGAGGGCAAAGGTCTGGAGATGAGTGCAGGAGGTTTTGCACATGGCCTTGAGGACTCTGCAAGATATATAAGGGGGCCAGGTATATAGCTTAGTGGCACAAGCACCTGCCTGGCAAGCATGAGGTCCAGAGTTCAATTCCTGGTGTGAAAAAAAAAGAGTCCATATAAAGTGCTTTGCTCAAAGTGTGGCACTGACTGGGCTTGTTGGAGAACTGTGTTGAGTTCTGTGTAGCTTGGTCCTGAGAAAGACCTGCTGACAGGAAGGCAGGTATCCAGGGCCAGGTCTTTCATGCCAGGTTAGGGATCTTGGTGGGGCTGGGCCAGGGGCCGCCTTGTACTTACATCTTGGAAGATCAGCAGTAGCTGTGTGGAGTGGCCAGGGCTGAAATCAGGATATGGGTCAGGCACATGACCTGGTCATTCAGTCTGAGGAGCTGGATAAAGCCAAGGGAGTTCAAATGGGGCAGTGTAATGTCTATAGGGCCATGTGGTGCCGAGAGCCTGGAGAAACATGAACAGAAAGATGCTCAAAGTTCTGCAGAGATAAAAGGCAAAGCCGTCTGCGCGTTATCTACAGAGCCAGCAAATGCAAACTGCAATCAAAGAACGAAGCCCCAGGCTGCTCTCTAACTTGACAATTTAGGTAAAGATCTGACATCAAAGGAAGGTAAGCCACCTCATTAACTTATAAGGCCCTTAAATGCAAGGTGGATAGTGTGTGTTGTGTGTGTGTGTGTGTGTGTGTGTGTGTGTTTCAGCAGAAATCCCTAGAAGCTAGTCAGAACCTGGCTAGAATCTGGCATGAAGACTGCTGGGAAGTAAAATTTCCTTAAGTGCAGTGTGTTTACCCCTGAGTGTATAGAGGAAATAAAGAATAAAGCCAGGCTCCTATAATCACGCACATTACCTGGTCTTTTCCCCGGAAATGCAGATTTAGTGGACTAGCCTGGAGCTCAGGGATCTGTGTAGTGAATCCCAAGTGGTTCTTTCTGAGAAATTTGGCAAACTCCAGCTTCCGGGAAAACTTCTTGAGGTATAGAAGGACTTGAAACTAAGTAGTGTACACAAGTGATTTTTTAAAAATGCCAATAGCATTAACTCTTTTTAAGAACTTATGGGTACTTGGCATTTGAAGTACTTGTAAATTCAACAGAATTTGATAGAACAGGTGACACTTATAATTTAAAGGTACGATTAAATAATTGAATTAGACTTGTGATTTTAAGTTAAAAGTTTCATAAATTTATGTGTGGTATTGAAAGAGTTAGAATTTAAGTTACTATATTTTTCATTTTAGCTTGTATGTTTATGTACTTTAAATTGTTGGTAAGATTTTGTATGACAAGTGTATTTAAAGAAGAAATTGTACGTATTAAATTTACATATGTGATTTAAGTATTTGAATGTAATTAAGCTTGTAAATGGGATCAAATATTAAAGATATCTCTAAAGGCGTTTGCTAAAATTATTCAGAGGGGGGGAAAATCTATAAAAGAATTTAAGAGCTTAAAGAAATCTTTACTTTTGCCTTTTTTGCAGTGCTGGTGAACAAACCCTGGAGCCTACTCTGCAAGCACTTCTAGCATTAACAACACCCGCAGGCCCCTTAAGGGAAAGTTTTTGGCAGATAAATAGGTAGACTAAATGTAGTATATACATAGAAAGGAAATTCTGACACAAACTATGACATGAATAAACATGGAGGACATTATGTTGAGTAAAACAAATCAGTCATAAAAAAACCAATATTGTTTGAGGTCACTAGAGTGGCGAGATACATAGAGACCAAAAATGGAATGGTAATTGCCAGAGATTGGGGACAGGAATAACAGGGAGTTGGCACTTCATAGGCACAAACTTAGTTTGCAGGTGAACAGGCCTGTGGAGGGACGTGATGCCACCACAACCACATGGATGTACTTAATGCCGCTGTACAGCTTGCCATGCACAATGGTAAAGATGGTCTTTGCCATCTCGATCCATCTGTCTCCCTCCACGTCCCCCTCCCACCCCGCTCCACCTTTGGCCTCTGCAGGAACTGTCCCTACTGAAAGTGTTGCTCAACAGAGTAAGCATCTCCTTTTGTTGCAGAAAAAAAGCCAAAAAAAGTTTTAAAACATTAGTACTGGTAAAATTAAATTGATTTTTTAAAATCAGAATTATTTTTGAATAATATTTTCCATGCAGCCAAACCACCCACAGGACTCCTGAACGCCCACTGAACATAGCATACTATTGCAGGTCAGTGAGAGCTCTGGGACTGTAATGCAGGCATCTGCAGGATGGATGGAGAGGGAGGCGCACACGCAGCACTTGTCACCCTAGTAGCATTGATGCAGCTCTAGAAGAAGCAGACCACTCTTGCCATGGGGAAGAGGACTCTGCCTGACTGAGTAGAAACTGTTCCTTTGGCGGCTGCCCTGACACTCAGGCATGGTGCTCAGAGACAGCATGGGGACAAGTAAGGATCTGAGAGAATCAGAGACAGGGGAGGGGCAGCAGAAGCCCTCTGTGTACTGCAGAGAGGACTAGGAGAGAGTGACAGGCAAGTGAGTGACCTTGCGGGGACGTAACTCTGGCATATGGCCATTTTCAGAGTGGACGGGGTGACGGAGTGTGGGATGGCAAGGCTCACTCAGTATAATTTCAGGCCCAGAATTCCCTGCATTCTACCATCATCTCTGTCTCGTCCAGAGCTTTGCCACACCTGGAGTTCTTCACTCCAGCAAAAGCTGTGGCTGTGAGGTTTTGAGGTTCTACTCCAGGCATTAGGGAAGGAGAGGTGACACAGAACTGCAATCGCACAGCCATGTGAAGGACTGACTCAGGTGGTCTCTTGTGAGCCGGTCCCTGTGGGATGGAGGGTGCACCCAAGGCCTGGACGAGAGGTGGTGTATGGGGCACCAAAGAGGCGCAGGGAGGGAGGAAGATCCAGAAGAGGGTCTGAGGCACAGGGGCTGCACATCCCCCTTGTGTCCACCCCAAGGCGGGTCCCTGCTTAGCCCTACCCAGGTGTGACTGGCAAGGTGCCGGGAGCAATCCTAAGTGGAGAGGAACCTGTAGGCTTGTGCTCCTCTTTGCTTTCTAGCCCTGGAGGGGGCTGGCCAGGAGGGGCTGGCCGTGAAGGGGAAAAGTGACTCCATCAAGTTTGCCTTGGACTTTTTGTTTTTTTTTTTCTTTCCTTGCCCCCAGGTGTGGATTTCTCCAGCTGTGTTTGGACAGTCCTGCTCTCTGGGTAATGAAGAGCAGTTGCATGGTGAGTTAATTACCCCTGAATTCAAAAATGTCTCAGTGGAGGAGGCATGAGGCTCTGAGGCCCTGAAAGAAGGCATCCATGCAGGAGTTGTACAGGCTCTGTGTGCAGAATCCAGCCTGCCATGAATGCTTTTGGGAAGTCTCAGGTGAGGCAGTGGTCCAGGAATGGGTGGCGCTGTATTGTCACAGTTCAGATCAGGGAGGTTCACTTGAGGTTCGGGCAGTCCAAATAAGAGACCCAGAGCTGTGGACTGGGTTAAACATCTTTATTTCAGGCGCTGCCGTAGTATTTGCCCAGCTGCACTGTCTGACCAGCCACTCTTGCTGCTCTCAGCCATTACACACAGTGGTGGCTGCCTGCCAGTACCGACCTTCTATGGACAGTGGTTACCTAAGTTATTTACACTGGGAAGGAGAAATGTGCCTGCACTGGAGTCTTGTTGATCCACTCACTGCCTGAACCGGAGTCTCAGCCCTCTTGGGCTTTTGTGTTTCCTTGCACTACGCCCTCCTTGAGCTGTGGGTGTGATAGTGGATACACACACGCATAGCTGTGCTTTGTACTCACATGTCACAATAGTAACCTAAGGAGAGCTCATGATGGGCCACATGATGGGCATGTAGTAGCCCTCTGCCCCGTATGCCCATGCGGACAGTAACTTGCAGGCCCAGGCATCATGGTATCATACCAAGTTCATATTGTAGACCCTCTTCCCCAGGGGTAGCTAGCAACAATGTGATGCCTTTATTTGCCATGACCACTTCCATTTTACCTGCTCATCCTCTTTTGTGTGGCTTATCTCCCACGGGTCTTGCTTGTGTGGCTTGACCTCACACGGGCCAATGTCCAGCCAGCCAACCTGGGGCCTTCCATATAGACAGCCATAATATCAGCTTTTACAGACTTCCTGAATATGGGAAGGGGGCCTCCTCTTGCGTGACTGTCACCCACATGGCCCTCAACTCAGCCTACTGACTGCTCTGTCTAGTACCAGTAATATATCACATGGTGTCTGTTTCTGTCTGCACGACAGCCACCTACCATGCAGTGGCTCACAGCTCCACCTGTCTATGTACCAGGCACTTCTTGGTACTGGTACTGGTGGTATTCTGTTGGCCTTAAGACCTACTATACTCTGTAGAAAGGGGACTTGTGGCACACTCTGTTATTCTCTGTTCTCTATTTACCTTAAGTGGCCCCCATCTTGGGAACAGGTATCTATGAGCGTAGCTACTTCACTGCTGGGTGTGTGGTTAGCACCTTCACATGGACTTCCCTGGTGATTGATTCATGAGCCTGAAGACTGCATATATAGCTGCTCTGAGGGGGTACTGGACCTCTACCTTCCTCTTCCTCCGCCTCCTCCTCCTCCTTTCCTATTCTTCCTCCTCCCCTCTTCCTCTTCCTCCTCCCCCTTCTCCTTCTCCTCCTCTTTCTTCTTCTCCTCTTCCTCCTTCTTTCTCTTCTTTACCTCCTCCTCTTCTTCCTCTTCTTCCTTCATTTCAGGGTCTCTGAAATGGATTAAAAACGGATGGGTCTCTGTTATGGATTAAAAACTGATGGTCAACCTAACGCCAGCTGGATTAAATTACCATGGTGCTGAGCTCAGATGTTCCACCTGAGGAAAGTTGCCAGCATAAATAGAGATGTGGAGAAGGAGAAAAGAGGTATTGAGGTGTTGTGGGTTCTCCTACGTGTTGCTGTTTGAGCCATTGGTTCTTCTGGAAGAGCTCATCATGACTAGGTTCCCCAGTGTGAGTTTGACCATTGTCATCAGAGGAGCTCAGGACCTTGTTGGTGAAGTGGCTGTGGTTCACTTTGGGGGAGCTCTGGTCCTTAAATGGAACATTGCTTCCTGGCTCTGGAGGAGAAGACATGTGTGCCACTTAATCTTTAGGACCAACGTCATGCTGGCTTCCTGGCATGTACCTGACTATGCTTATCATCAGAGGAGCCTGGGACCTCCATGTCACTGAGGATGGCTGTGGTGCTTTACAGGACAGCCCTGGTCTTTGTTGTGAGTGTGACTTCTTGGTTCCAGTGTTGAACCCTTAACCTATCAGCACAGTTCCTTCACCCCACTGGCTTAGATTTTCTAGCTTCCACTGCTGACCTTTGGGTCTCCCCAGATCTGTAAAAGAGACTAGTGTGAGTCCTTCTTTTGGGCTCTAGATCTCCAGTTGGACTTCTGGGAGACATTGTCATGGGCTCTGGGTCTTATCTGGACTCATGCAAGACATTGCTGTGAATTCAGGCCCTTTGCTGAATGTTCTATGTCTTCAGTGTTGTGGACAGATATCCTGCACTTTCTTATGTGTTAACTCTGGGTGACCATCATAAATAATATTATAAATTCTGTGTCCTGATTCTAACTGTTCTCCTCACACCCCCTGACTACGACAATCTCCTTATGTAGTCCAGGCTGGCCTTCAACTCACAACAATTCTCCTGTCTCAGTCTCCTGAGTGCTGGGATTACAGGTGTGCACCACCACACTCAGTCTCCAACCCCGTTTTGTGATCAAAATCTTGAACACATGTGCAGCCATTCCATGTGTCACCACAATCCCCAGCCAAAGCCTTTGGTGGTTACATGAGCATCCAGTTCCTAGGGCCACCTGGGTTCAGCCACCTGCAGGGCTTGTGCCTGTTGCATAGCCCGCTTTGGTTTCCCAAATACCTCCTTGGCATCTTCTGCCCAGTTCCAGGCGATGCCCTTCTAACTCCATTTATGCAAAGCTTTTGAGGGCTGGACTAAATGGGAAATAAAAGCCCTATCATCTCCCAGGAGCCCTAGAAAAGTGTGCAACTCTTGCACTATGGTATGGTGAGGATACTTCTGTATATTTCAGTCACAGTCTCTACCTTAGCTGCCTTAAATCTCCAAAATTTAACAGAAAGCCCAGGTTCTTAGATCTTGGCCTTGCTGACAGCCCATCCACATACTGTTCAGTGCTGCTGGAGATCACTGGCAGCTCCTTCTAGACCTGTAAGACAATTAGAGGTTGACATACTATCATCAGTGCAATAGCTGGGCACCCTATAAGTCTGACTCTGCAGCCAAGCCCTTTGCCACTAGCCCACAGCACATGGCCGGGCTGTGTAAGCAACCCTGTAGCAACACAGTGAACGTCCATTTTCTTCCTTCTCATGTGGAGGCAAACTGTTCATCACCCTCAGCAGCTATGTTTGTAGAGAACATCACTGTTTGCAATGTGAACCCCTAGATGACGTTGGCCTGGGAGGTACTCAGGTATGAGGGAAATGTGTACAACATAGGCTTGAGGAGACAGAGGCCCCATAACCAAGGAAATAGTCACTGGTCTCACTTATCCTCCTGCCTCAGCCTCCTGAGTGCTGGGATTACAGGTGTGCACTACCACGCCTGGCACTGGTCTCATTTTGTTTGTTCATCCTCCAGAACTCTTGTAAACCCAAATACTGTATACAGTCATCCAAGTATTGTAATCTTTCTTCTAGTCTTCCTCACAATCCAACAAGTTACATTTGCAATCCCATTGAGACGTTTTTGGATACCAGCAAGTTAATTCCAATCTATCACCACCAATGTAACTCCTGGTGAGAGTAAAGACACCAAGACATATTCCAAGTGAAGGGCAGCCAAGGGTCCTAAGTCCAGTCCTCAGAGGACACGCAGACAAAGGCCTTGATCCTAGGCTCTTCCAGACTTTATTACCTTGGGAAGAAGGGGTGTGGCTCAGGGATGAGTGACAGTGAGGATGGCGGGAATTATGTGAGTAATTTGAGCTGGCTGGCCAGGTGAGAGAAGGGCATCTCTGTAAATTGCAGAGATAAAGATATACAGAAGGATCAATTCACATAATCTAAATAAAGTATCAACTGAATTGTTTTAGGAGGCTGTCACTTCAGTTTCTGATATGCAAACTCTTGTGCCCTGAGGAGTCACAGCCTCTTTGCTTTGAAGCTCATACCCAGCTGACATTCCCAGAGCTGACTGGTTCTAAACATCCCGCTGTGTTCATATCGAGTACGGAGAACACTGTGCAAGGAAACAGGACTGTCTGTTGGCTTTAGAATTTACATACCAGCATCTCAGCTGGCCTTATTTGCAATGCTTAGAGCCAATTGAAGAGAGAAGGAAATACCCTAGCCAGTTTTCTACATATCAGTATAAGGAAATAAGTCCCTAAATAATCAAAATCCCAGTAATTGTTTTGCATTCAAGTGAAGTCTCTGGAGTTGTCTCCCACAAGAACCATAATGCAGGCTACCATCTCCAAGAATTTATCAGGGTTGCCATAAATCTGAGAATGGTCTGTCTCAATGTTCATTAATGTGAGCACATGGTACACATTTGTGGGTGACCAATAAATGGCAAGTCCAATATGAGGCCTCTGGTCTCCCAGTGTCTTTTCTAACCAAGTACCTGGGCTCTACCCTTAGACAAAATTACACACCCTCATGGTGTCATCTGTAGCGACTACATAGACTTACAAGTTTAAGACCTGGGGAGTCTTTCCCTTTTGGGACTGGTGGTCAGGACATAGCTATATCCACAGAGCTCAAGCTCCTCCATTCTTTCTGTGCTCCTTAGCATCTCGCAGTGTGGCCAGTAGTGCTCCCACAACTGCACTGTGGCTGCCTTCTCTGCCTGGCCTTGGGCTTGCTCTCAGCTTTAGATTTGCCTCCTGGCTCCCAGGACTGCCAAGTCCAGCTGCCCCAGTAGCCTCGACTGAGGTCCTCCAAGCCCCCACTGGTTCTGTGAGGCAGTGCCTGTCCCATGTTCAGCCCTATGTGATGTGTGTCAGTTCTGCATACTCACAGTCTGAATGGAATCTCTCCAGACTGATGAGTCAATCAGCATGTGGTCTATCTCCCAACAGGCTGCTTCCCTTGTAATGGCCCCAGCCTGGGCCCTGGATCTGCCTCTATCTCTGACTTAGACTCAGATTGTGATTTTGCTTGCAGCTCCAATATGGACTCCACGCTCTGGCCTGGAGCCCTGGGAATGGGCTGCAG